CACACACACACACACACACACACACACACACACACACACACACTCACAGACGAATTAATGTCAAACCAAGCTGTTTGAATAGAATAGAATGCCTTGACAAACTTATTCACAGACTACATTGACGCAACACAGTTTGAAGGGTTACTCTCTTTAAAGGCTGTATCAGTCCTCAATTTGGAGTCCCTTCTAACCGAGGGGATAACTTCCCAACTCTGGCCCTGCTAGCTGTTTGCATGGTAGTAAATGACATCATAAAATCAAGTGGACACTTGCTGTAAATAGGCTCCTTTAACATTGTGTCAAAAGATACAACTTATAGGGAGGGCTCTTTGTCATCATTAGCATAAAACTCAGTGAATAACAACATCAACAACAGTAGCCAATCTACAGTAATATGTGCTATGTGCCGATTATTGTTCCAAGATGTTAATGTATTCACTCATTTCCTCCAGTTAACTGTGAAGTAAGAATTCTTGCTAGTTCCGTAGATGAGGAAACTGGTCTACAGGGTGGCTTAGAATTGTCCAGGATCATACAGCTAGCAATAAATGTTTTATGGACCTTCACAGTCTGCTCCCAAGTCTGCAAACTTGACTACCAGACTGTCCCTCTTTCTGTAAAAGCATTAGATTGCTTTGCTGTTGCTTCTTTTACTCATCCAGTTGCTGCTCACGAGAAAACAGCTACGTGCGCTGCGGATTTGGGGGGCAATCTCTTTGTTTAAGAGCTTGCCCTTGGAATGAGGCAAGAAATGAAACTGCACATGTGACAAACGGCAACTGTGCAGGGAAAGAGGGAGGAGAGCCAGGCTTCCGTGATGACCTCCGCTCTCCTGGCAGAGGTGTGCCTGTATCGGCTGCAGCTTCACTCTCCTGGCCAAGGTGTGCCTGTATCCGCTTCGGCTTGCATATCCTCCTAGAGACCCTCCATAGAGTACACAGGCACTTACCTTCAGATGACTTTCTAGTCAGTGCTGAACACACATCTACTCAAACCAGCCACGCCAAGTGTTGTCTTGAAAAATCAAGAAACCTGGACACTTAGATAATCATATTCAGCGATTGGCTAGGACACCTCAAACCCACACTGGCCTCAGCTGTGGGAAGCTCAGTCAAGGAGGTTATAAACATGACATGTTTAGTCTGCCGGGGCCCTGGGAGACGTAGTGATCAGAGCCCTTGGTCCTTTGCTACTTGGAGCATCACTGAATAGTGCCAGCAGAATCTGCTTTGAAGACAGTCTGTCCCCGAAGACACACACACATATGAGTCCAGTGGGGACTCCACATCCCTGGTAAGATGAGGATATATCCACAGGCACGAACCAGTAGGGAAAAATGGGATTTTAAAGTCAACTGTTTCTAGGGGTGGGGTGAGGAGTATGATCGCATTGATTTAGCAAACCCAGTTCTAGAAGTTTAGCTATGTGGATATTCATGACAGCCATTTCAGAACAAATCTAAGTAAGTACCAACAGAGGTCTGTAAATATGTAAATAAAACAATATAAATAAAATAATATAAACAAATGACCTTAATTTAGACATTAAGGAATTTGAGAATTTTAAATTACATAGAAAAATGTTTCTTGTATATAGCTATGTGAAAGAGCTGAATATAGAAAAATAGAGGAAGAAAAATACCTTATGTGTTCTATATGGAGAGTCCCTGGGTGAGAAATAACAGTGATTTCCAACAAATGTTCACACTTATTTCTAGGTAGAAGTGGGAAATTTTAACAACTTTTGGAAGCCTTTTGCTGCTTATTTAAAATGTAAACAATTTAACAAGGAATACATTTTATCTGTATTAAAAATGAAACAAGAAAGTTTTTCCCCCCTCCAGCTTGAGTAATTGAGTAACTCTTTGAGCAGCCAGATGCAGGTCACTCACCAACTAGTTATTTAAGTAGCTTTTTTTTTTTTTTTTTTTTTTTGGTTTTTCGAGACAGGGTTTCTCTGTGTAGCTTTGCGCCTTCCCTGGGACTCACTTGGTAGCCCAGGCTGGCCTCGAACTCACAGAGATCCGCCTGGCTCTGCCTCCTGAGTGCTGGGATTAAAGGCATTCGTCACCACCCGGCTAAAGTAGCTTTTTCTCAGGACCATCCAACTTTTTTTTTTTTTTTTTTTAAATCATCTGCTAGCCGGTCTCTTTCTTACCTTTGAAATTGAACTGCTCATGTGATTAACATAGCATGTGGCCCTTCACAGTGTTCTTTGAATATTATCTGGCAGACAGTGAATGCTTTTAATTTGGAGTCCTGTGCCCTGTTGAAAACTGTTCCTGGACTCCTGATAATAACAATGGCCAATGTTGACTGGATGCTTACCTACACCAGGCACTGGCAAGATGTCTTCTAAGTGTCTTCTCATTGAGTGGCTAAAGAGCATGAGCTACCACCAGCCTCTCTTTACCAATGTGGAAACTGGGGCTCTAAGAGGTGATAGCACATAAGGCTTGCAGTTGATAAAGTAGAGGAGCAGGGATCCCAGAACCTGGGCAATCACTCAGTATAAAAAGCTATGCTGCGTCTATAAGACTGTTTCGTCTCTCATTTGATGATCGGAGGTTTTTAAAGCAGCTTATAAATCCCATTTTGTAGACAATGAAATTGAGCCAGGAAATGGGAGATGTGTACGTGCTTGGAAAGGTGATTCACTGAGAGGCAGAAGCAACCCAGCATCCCATGGGTCTTGTCTCCACACTTAGCACTAACTCGCTTTTCAGGGGAGGATAAACTACTTCAGGGTCCTGCATGGCCCTGTGATAAAATAATGGGGATGTGATTTTTTGAGCCACTCAATAATGGAGAAGATGGAAATCTCCCCACCTGCCCTGCAAACTGCTGATTGTGCATACAGTGCTTGCCCATCAAGATCATTTTCAGTAGATGATTACTTCAGTGTGCCCAGGCCTGCAGGACATAAGTATGTGGGCAGTGGTGGTAAAAGCCATAATTATTCTTAATGGGAAAATGTGCAGGTAATGACTTGGATGATCATGTATCTGTAATGTATGAGTTCCAAAGCCCAATGAAGTAATTAAGCAATCTGCAAACATGCAGGGTAGAGTCTGAAATGGAAAGAACCAACACAATATGTCTTGTGGCTATCTGGCAGTGTTCTTAAACAGAGAAATATCTGTCTATCTGTCTATCTATCTATCTATCTATCTATCTATCTATCTATCTATCTATCTATCTATCTATCCATTCATCCATCATCTACTCATCTACACTTACCTGTCTATGGTAACATAGGCAAATATTGTATGTGCATTTTAGAATTTTATGTGTTTGCAGGAGGGCAGTTTTTCCAGGTTAACATTTTATGGAGAGTGCTTGTTCCCCACAGAATTTGCAGATAGCTTTGTTCTTCCTGAGAACATTTCCTTTCATTAGTTCTTCTCCTGCTTAGGACCAGCAACTGGAGGAAGCAAAGATAACATTGCCCCAGACTGGGAATTTTGAGTCCGAGTTCTGCTTTATGCGCCGATTCCACTGTCAATCATATGATAATACCTACTCTCTTCTTTAGGGTGAAGGTCTCCACCTCACAGATGGAGGGGGAGGACTCTAAGCAGCCGGGATTATCACAGAAGAGCTGTGAGCTGTGCACTTAGAGAATAGGGCCTTTCTTACAGCTTTGCTGTGTGACAGACATCTTCTTTCTGTTTCATAAGCAGGGAAAAACAAAACAAAACAAAACCAAAACAAAACAAAACAAAACACCTGAGCCAAAATGTGCAGTGATTCTTCCAAACATGTGGACCTAGTTGGAGTCAGAAATGGCAGA